AAGGCCACACCCTCACTAGAGGCCACACCCCCTCTAAGCCACACTCTCACTAGGGTTTACACCCTCTCTTGAGGCCACACCTCCTCTAAGGCCACACCCTCACTAGAGGCCACACCTCCTCTAAGGCCACACCCTCACTAGAGGCCACAGCCTCTCTTGAGGCCACGCCATCTCTAAGGCCAGCTCTCTCTGAGGCTCACTCAACTCCTGGGGGCCCCAGGGGTTCCATGCTGTGTGTTCCTCTCGTCCCTGCCTCTGTCTTCACACGGCCTCCTCTGCCTATCTGTCATCAAATCTCCCGCTGCCTCCCTCTTATAACCACCTTGTGTTGGCGTTTAGGGTGTTCAGAGAGTCCAGGAGCGGATTGCCATCTCAAAGCGCTTCACCTCCTCACCCCTGCACAGACCCTTCTTCCTCATTAGGTCACATTCAGGGATGAGGACCAGACACCTTTGGGCCATGATTTCACCGGCTGGCTCCCTTCACAGCATGGCTCCCAAGACAGAGGCTTCTGCTCTGGGCCCTGCTCCTCCCCCACCTCCTCTGAACCGCATCCACGGGGCTGTCCTACCTTCCTGAAGCAGTGCTCCTCAAGGCCACTGGTGGCCTCTGTATCCACAAACCCACGAGCCCTTTCTTGACTCTGTTTTTCCCACACAGGGCAGTGCCTCATGCAAGGACACACTGTATCTGAACCGCAGGCCTCTGGCTCTGACTGCCCACTCAGCCTCCTTCTTCCCTTTCTTTACCACGCCATTTTCAGAGCTGGTCTCCACACCTTCCATGTCTGGGTGGTCCCTGCCCCACCCTCTGGGCCAACTGCCCATCTTCCTGAGGCCTCCTGGGACTCCAGAAACAGCTCAGCCCTGGCCCTCCAGCCCTGCCCTCACCCCACAGCCCCTCCATGAGCAGCCAGGCTTTCTGCTCGAAGGCCCGCATCCTGGGGCCACATTTTTTTTTTGATCAAGCATTGGGATTTTTAAAATGAATTTTACTGTGCTTTATTACAATTGGTTTTAGTTGAGGAAAAATGTGCAGAGCTCCAAGTGGATATTTGGCGATAGGGTGTTCCCCGTGCGGATCCGACCTGGCAGCTTAGGGTTTGCGGTGTCCAGGTCTCTGTTGTAATGGCTCAGTCCTACCACTGGAAGCAACCTTAGTCCACACATAAAGAGTGAAGGGGGCTGAGTGTCAATAAAACTTTATTAACAGAAGCAAATGATGGCCCTGTGCCCAATGCCGGTCTGGTGTGCACGAAGCAGCAGAATCACCTGAGCAGAGCCTGAAGGAGGTAGATGGGTGGGGTGGTTCTCCAGGTTAAGCTGTACCAGCAAACCTCCGACAGAGAGTTTCAAAGACACGAGGGGATTGTCTCACAGCTAGACAGGATAAATGGCTTTCCTATTTGCTTAAACAATGACGAACTTTCCTAACTGCACCCAATTGAGTAATCTGATCACTGCCAAATCTCCACGTGATAGCCTAAAAATAGATAGGAAAATACGGATTACTCTTATTTATTGTGGCAAAATAGACATACTATGAATCATCTTCACCATTTTTAAGGGCACAGTTCCATGGCACTAAGTACATTCACCTTGTCGTGCAGCTGTCACCAGCATCCACCTTCAGAACTTTCTCACCTTCCCAAGCCGAAACCCCACTCATCAAACACGGACTCCGCATTCCCTCCCCCAGCCCCTGGTACCCCTGGAACTTCCTGCCTCTATGACTTTGACCACTCTAGAAAGCTTGTATGAGTGGAATCATGGCATTTGTCCTTTGGTGACTGGCTTCTTTATATTTGTTTTTTTTTGAAGCAGAGTCTCTTTCTGAAGCCTAGGCTAGAGTGCAGTGGTGTGATCTCAGTTTATTGCAATCTCTGCCTCCTGGGTTCAAGCGATTCTCCTGTCTTAGCCTCCCAAGTAGCTGGGACTACAGGCATCCACCACCATGCCTGGCTAATGTTTGTGTGTTTAATAGAGACGAGGTTTCACCATGTTGGCCAGTCTGGTCTTGAACTCCTGACCTCAGGTGATCCACTCGCCTCAGCCTCCCAAAGAGCTGGGATGACAGGCGTGAGCCACCGTGCCTGGCTGTTGACTGGCCTTGTTTCACTGAGCTCACCCACGTCGCATGTGCCAGCACTTCCCCCTGTGTTATCCTGTTCTCGCACTGCCATAAAGAAGTGCCTGAGACTGGGTAAATCATAAAGAAGAGGTTTACTTGGCTCACGGTCCTGCAGGCTGCATGCAAACATGGCCAGGCATCTGTCTGGCTTCTGCAGAGGCCTCAGGAAGCTTCTGATCATGGTGGAAGGTGAAGGGGGAGCTGGTGTCTCACATGGTGGGATCACAGAGAGACAGCAGTGGAGGTGCCGCATGCTTTTAGACAGCCAGATCTTGGGAGAACTCAGTATTGTGAGGACAGCACCGAGAGGACGGTGCTAATCCACCCCCGTGATCCACTCACCTCTCAGCAGGCCCCAGCGCCAACACTGGGTGTGCAATCCAACATGAGATTTGGGTGGGGACACAGAGCCAAACCACGTCCCCTTCCTTTTTATGGCTATGTTCCCTGGTATGGATGGACCCTGTTTGCTTAATCCTGTCGTCAGAAGGTAGATATTTGGGCTGCTGGCACTTGTTGGCCACAGTGGACAGAGTGCTGTGGGCACTCGTGCCCACATTTATGTGTGGACACAGGTTTTCACTTCCAGCAGGCACATTCCCAGAGCGGGCTCACTGGGTGGAATGGCAACTGTGGGTTTAAATGTGTGAGGCACACACAGTCCCACAGCATTGGCGCCACGGCCCATCCCCAGCAACACAGGCAGCTCTGACTCCCCAACACCCAGTGCTGGCCGTGGTCTGGCTTTGGATGGCAGCCGTCCTGGTTGTTCTGACGTGCATTTCTCTGTGAGTAGAGCAAAGCCCCCATCCTGCACCCCTGGTGCTGAGCTGAGGGAACTCAGGCGCTCTCTGGTCACCCACAGGGACCCCTTGCTGTCGCCCTTCCTGGGCGTGGAGAAGCCTCATCGGAGCCCTGATTGCCCATCTGTCCCTGGGGGACGCTGTGAGGCGCAGGGAATCTCCCGCCTGGTCTCTGCTTTGCCCCAGCCCTGTGGGACAGTTCTGGGCACAGAGTGGGCACTCTGCAAACACTGCGGGAAGAACAAAGTTGTTGTTAGTATTTTTAATGTAAACATGATATTTTCTTGAACAATCTATGCTATTTGTTTTTGTTGGTTTGGAAATGGATCTCTCAGCAGAGTAACCTGGCGCATAACCTCATAAGGGCGGTGCACCTGGTCCTGGGTCAGACTCCCTCGCTGACCACCCCGTCTCCAGGAGGACAGGAAGGTGCAGTGGCTGTGGCTCTGAGCACAGGCCCTGAGAGCTGGAGAGGCCCACGGAGCCCTGGGAGCACATGGGTCGGTGAGATGACCCCGCTGTGCCTTGTACATCTGTGCCCCATGTCCACCCCGCTGGGCTGCCCCCCTCTCGGCCCTGTACCTGGGCAGGTGAACCTGCTCTTCATGTCAGGAATAACGTCACCCACCTCCAAGGCTGTCACTGGGGAAACACAGAGCACAGGTCGCCCTTGGCATGCTTCAGGGCCACCAGCATGCCCTCACTGTGTTTGTGATGGATCTGGGAGCTGGGGGGAGACCTGAGGTCCTTGGATGGCTGCTGAGACCACCTCGAGGAAGGACATAGCCTTGTTCCGTTGCATCCGAGCGGGGTCAGGCCAAAGCCTGAGGCAGGGTCAGATGGCAGCTGATTAGATCTTATCTGACCTAAAGTTGGTCCTAATTTAATTTCTCCTTCAAATAAATACAAGATTGAAAGCTGCTCCCCGGCCAGGAGGCAGCTGAGCCTCAGGGTGCTCCGCATTTTTTCTCAGGGACCAGGGTGGCCTCCTTTCTGGATTGAATACCCCATCTTTTTAGCAACAACTCCATTACCCCACATGGCTGGGTCCACCCTGATAGCGGCATCACCCTGAGGAGCTAAGGGGTCCAGCCTTCCAGCTGCATTCAGCAGCTGCCTGTTCCTTGGTCCCCTGCCCCTCTCTTTCACCCTAAGCTGACAGAGGGGCGAGCTGGGGAGGTGGGGACAGGGTGGCAGCAGGCGGACCAGCCCTGGCAGCCTTCTTGTCTGGAGTGCAGGGTGAGGAAGGAGGCGGGAGGGGCCTCCCGTCTGCCCGAGGTCTGTCCCTTCTCTCCTGGGTCCCTGAAGCCCTGACCCTGCACTCCCGATGCTGAGTGGCCCCGGAGCTGGAAGCTGTGAACCTGGCTGCAGTCTCAGCTGTGGGGGTTGGGGTTGGGTGGGGACTGGCCCCAGAGGACCCCGCACTGTGTGTGCTGCTCACCGTCCACAGCTATGGCACTCTGCAGTATGTCTGCCACCTGCCCACCACCAGTGCAGAATCGAGTGGCCGTGTTCACAAAAGGTGTCCTGATACCTTACGGGTAAATCCAAGCTTTCTAAGGGGTGTCTGCTTTGGGAGAAAAATTTAACCCCAGTACAGGTAGAGCCTAGAGCCCTCCTCACTTCCAGCGAGGCTGGGTCCACACAGTCCCGTGCCTCGGGGCTGCAGATGTCTGTCCAGCCAAGCGTCACCCAGCGGTCCATCAACAGTCCCTGTCTGGGCCCTGTCGGTGGTCAGGGAAGCCTTTTGCCAGCAAGGACCCAGTGGAGCCAAGCAAAGCTCAGAACAGCCCGTCCACATGCGGCTGGATTTCAGGATCAGCAGGTGTCCAGCCCCAGCACCGCTGACCATGTCTGTTCTGGTCCTCAGAACTCCCTGAGGCACTTTTGCTGGTCTCTGTTTGATCTCCTCCAGCCATGGGGAGCTCACTACCTTTGCTTCCAGCACATCCCCGAGCTGAGGAGCCACAGCCCTTGGTGGGCCCTTTTATCCATGAAGCTTCTGAACGCTGCTGCCCCGTGGCGCCTGCCCTGCCCCAGCCCTCCCATGACGGGAGCCGACAGACTTCTGCCTCCCCTTCATCCAGGCAAACCCCTGGTGGCTGCTGTGCCAGACTCCCGTGTGGAACAGGCCCGTGGAGATGGGGGACTGACTCCATCCTCCCCTGAACCTCAAGGAACAGCCGGGGTCCCCGTGGGATGTCCTAGGGTGCGCCCTGGCCCCAGCTCTTGTCCACCTTCTCTGTCCCCGATCCTCGGCCTGGAGTTGGCCTGCTGTGGACCAGCTTGGCCCTGTTGGGGGAACTGGACCCAAGGGAGAGCCCCTGCTGTGCTGGGCTCCCAGGTCAACATCCCTCTAGGGCCTTGCCCAGGGGAAGGTGCAGGGCAGGCAGCTGTCTCTGAAGGACACATAGGACACTGAGCACAGCTGGATGGACAGCAGTGGCCAGCCCTAAGGTCAGCAAGACCGGCTCCTCACTGGGGCTGCTCCTGGTCACAGGACCCAGCTCCCACGGCTGTGTCTGCTGATGCCCTGACCCGGCCTCAGACTCTTAAGATGGGCGCCTGTCCTGACGCCTCGGTGCCAGCCCAATGCAGAGGGGCAGATAAACCAGAGCCAGATGTGAGGTGTGGGCATTGGGGACCTGACAGGCCACCCGGCTCCCCATGTCCCTGCTTGGGGACTGGCTAGCAGCCAGCCATAGTCAATGCAGTGGCTCCCAAAACACACACACAGCACGCGGGCACACACACACACACACACCCCATAACTCACAGCAGCACCTCCCAGAGCTGGTTTAGCACAGCATTTGCTCCGAACCCAGACCCCTGTGACCACAGCTGGCCTCATCTCCCTCCTGTCCTGCTCCGGGCAAAGACAGTCACAGAGCGACTCCTTCCCTCCTCACTGTGCACACACGAAGACCCTGCCCCGGACCACCAGTGTGCAGATGCCACTGCGGACGGACCCTGCACCTAGAGCTCCCAGATGTGAGCCATGAGCAAGACCCATGGTCGTCTGATGCGTCAAGAGGAGGTGCCAGTTCCATTCTGGAAGATTCCATCCCGTTTCCATGCCTATCGGTCCTCCCTGAGGACACCCACCAGGGAGGATGCCACCTGTCCATGGTTGGGGTCAGTCATTCATTCAGTCACTCACTCATTCATTCACTCACTCACTAATTCACTCATTCACTCACTTGTTCATATTGTCACTCAGTCACTCATTTATTCACTCATTCATTCATTCATTCACTGTCACTCATTTACTGATTCACTCAGTCACTCACACATTCACTCACTTGTTATTCTGTCACTCAATCACCCATTCACTCACTCATCCACTCACTCATCCATTCAGTCACTCATTCACTCATTCATTGTCATTGATTCACTCATTCACTTGTTCATTCTGTCACTAACTCACTAATCAGTCACTCATTCACTCACATCACTCATTCACTCACTCACTCAACATTAACTCACTCATTTATTCACTCACTCATTCATTCACCTACTCACTCATTCACTCGCTCACTTGTTCATTCTGTCACTAACTCACTAATCAGTCACTCATTCACTCACTCATTCACTCATTCACTCACTCACATCACTCATTCATTCACTCACTCATTCATTCACCTACTCACTCACTCATTCACTTGCTCACTAACTCATGCTCTGCCTCAGAATGTGTGAGATATTGTTCTAGAGGCTGAGACAGAGCTGTGATCTAAATAAGTTCCAGCTTTGGAGGAGCTTGAGCTGCAGCAGTTCAGATACCCTAACTATGGACAGGGGGTGTAGTGTGTGTGGGTGTGATGTGTGTGATGTATGTGTGTGTGTGCATGGGTGTGATGTGCATGAGTTTATGTGTGTGGGTGTGAGGTGTGGGTGTGATGTGTGTGAGTGGGTGTGATGTGTGTGTATGTGTGTGGGTGTGATGTGGGTGTGATGTATGAACGTGTGTGCATTGGTGTGATGTGTGAGTGGGTGTGATGTGTGTCGGTGTGATGTGTGTGAGTCTGTGTGCATGGGTGTGATGCATATGTGGGTGTGATGTGTGTGTGAGTGGGTGTGATCTGTGTGATGTGTATGTGAGTGGGTGTCGTGTGTGTATGTATGAGTGTGATGTGTGAGTGGGTGTGATGTGTGTGAGTGGCTGTGATGTGTGTGATGTGTATGAGTTTGATGTGTGTGAGTGTATGTGAGTGGGTGTGATGTGTGTGATGTATGAGTGTGTATGCATGGGTGTGATATGTGTGAGTAAGTGTGATGTGTGTGTGAGTGGGTGTGATGTGTGTGAGTGTATGTCTGTGGGTGTGATGTGTGTGATATATGAGTGTGCATGCATGGGTGTGATGTGTGTGTGAGTGGATGTGATGTGTGTGAGTGGGTGTGATGTGTGTGTCTGTCTGTGGGTGTGATGTGGGTGTGATGTATGAGTGTGTATGCATGGGTGTAATGTGTGTGTGAGGTTTGATGTGTGTGAGTGGGTGTGATGTGTGTGTCTGTGTGTGGGTGTGATGTGGGTGTGATGTATGAGTGTGTATGCATGGGTGTGATGTGTGGGTATGTGGGTGTGATGTGTGTGAGTGGGTGTGATGTGTGTGAGTACGTGTGTGTGTGTATGTGATGTGTGGGGTGTTGCGATGCGTGTGTGCGTGTGTGGGTGTGTTGGGAGGTGTGGCGCAGGCTCATGCAGTCTGTGCACCCTGCCTCCTGCTCAGTCTGGTGGACACTTTCCTGCCACTGCGAGTGCTTTCTGAGCAGTGCCGATGGTTGAGGCAGCTGCCCCTGCTTGGTGTTCTCCTGGGGGGCACACCTCTCCGGCCTCCCTGCCTCAGGTTCAGGCCTCTCCTGGGCGACAGGCTCACTTGCGCGTTTTCTTGGTGCACCGTGGAGTAGACTGACTCTCACCGTCACTGTCGTTGAAACACTAGCCTCCTCCCAGTTCTCACCCCGATGTCTGTTGGGATGCCCCC